CCTTTTTCCTTGTTCCTTGTTCCTTTTTCCTTGTTCCTTGTTTCTTTTTTCTTGTTTCCTTGTTTCCTTGTTTCTTTTTTTCTTGTTTCTTTTCTTGACCCCTCCCCTTCTTTTTTCTTTTTTTCTTTTTTTCTTTTGCCCGCCTCCCTTCTTCTTTTGTATCTCCCTGAAGTAAGACAGCATAAATTGGATTGGTGAAGAAGAGGAGGTGATTCCTATAAGTGACAGAGGAATAGGGAAGTTAAGTTATATGGAGGTATAAAGTAAATACTGTATCATAGTTTTAGGCAATACAAAATATGAATTAGATAACTAGTGCATAGTATATACACATGAGAATTCTGAAAGGTTCTAGATAAGCATTTGAGCATGTTTACAAATGAAACTGTGTATATGAATATGGATGAGCACTAGTGATATGTCATCAAGGGAAATTACAACACTGTAAGAAGATATCTCTCTATTAGTTTATACTGTCCACTTTATGCCTTATTTCCATGAGAAAGTTGTGAATTATACAATTGCTGTCAAAAAAATAGTTTGTTAGAGTGCTGGAGTTTAAAGGACCTTACATCATTATATCACAGAGTGGACTTCAGATCATGAAACCAATGATCAACTAGGAAGGAAGACTCTATTACTACTTTCAACCCAGAGGCTGTGCTTTGGTTGTGGGGCTGTATTTCACCTCCCTGCATGCTTTGTGGTCCATGCCTGATGTTTTGTTAGTGAAGCGGATTCATGTAAAAGTGGACAGCTTCCAAATGTAAAGGACGTTTCATTAGCAGCATTGACAAAACAGTGTCACTGAATGCAATATGTTTGAATTATAGGTTGCTTGCAGTAGAATTTGTCTTTATAATATTGCATTAAATATTATCATTCTTTTTAATTCATCTGTAGGAGCTAGAAAATATCATTGCTCAAATGATGCATGTTGCAGAATACCTTGAATGGGATGTGACTGAACTAAGTCCAGTAAGTATCTATTTTATCACAAGTTTTTAATGTTGCTAGAGATGGCATTCAATAATTTTGTGATACTTCATGTCAACATGTGATTCTACATATTAGTAAGATAGAAATAAGAATAGTCTGTGCTCCACTATGACACTGTCAATTAGCACTTTTATGAGTTTTTCTGATGAGATCTGATCTGTGAAACATTCTTGCTACAGTTCAAGGCTTTTCTTCAGTGCCTGTAGTAATTAACATTTATAACACAACTGGTTTGTCTCTGAAGGTTTCTTAAAAGTAACTACCTCTTATTTGTATTGTACATAGTAAATACACAACAGGACACAACTTGGTTTGGGAGATTTAAGTAATAATAAAATGTAAATAGGAATATGGCCCTTCATTTTCTGAACTGTCATTACTCATTTTACGACAGGTGTCATACAAATAATATTTTCCTTACTTTTTGCATGCGGATGAGGGAATTGGAGATCTGCACATGTTCTAACAAGAAATTGTTGTATTAGAATATGGAATTTATGAGATTTTTCATTAAACTGTGTAGATCCTTCATGAAATGATGGAAGAAATAGACTATGATCATGATGGCACTGTTTCTTTAGAAGAGTGGATCCAAGGAGGAATGACAACAATCCCACTCTTGGTCCTCCTTGGGTTAGAGAATGTGAGTATTAACATAAAAGTGTCAAGTTTCTGCTTACATGTCAGCTGTGGCCCTCAGGTTAGTTTCTCTGTGGCCTGTATAAAGAATGGCTTTTCTTTGCTTTTCTTTACTATGGCTGAGTGACATGCAAAGGGAAGTGGTGTGTCTTCAAAGTCAGAGGTACATTAGCATGTTTGAAGCAACACCAAATGAGCCAGCTCTAGAGCTGGAAGCTTTAAAAAACTGATTTGTCCTGTTCACAGCATATCGTTAATTCCTAGCTGCAGTAGTATCTGTTAAGAATGTTTTACTGCCCATGTGTACGTTACAGCTGGCTTGGAGCAGTCTAGGCTTCTCAGCATGGCACTGTGTTCTGTGGCCTAACCATACTGAGTCACAGGACAATCTAGGTTGGAAGGAACTTCTGGAGATCATCTGATCCAGCCTCTTATTAAAGGCAGGGCCACAGATTGAGTAATCCAGGGCCCTGTCAAGCCCAGTCCTGAATAATTCCAATGAGGTGGATTCCACCAGTTCTGCGGGCAACCAATCCCAGTGTTAATTGTTCTCAAGAGAAAGAGCTTTTTTCTTAGGCACAGATGGAATTTCTTCTGCGGCAATTATTGCCTGTTGGCTCTTGTCCTGTCATGATACATCCCTGTAAAGATAGGTCTTCTGTCTCTGTAACTACCTTAATAAACTATACTACGTAGCAATATCAAAGAGAACACTTATACCAAAGGATAGAGTGCTGTGAAAGAAGAGCTTATGTTCTGTACATTTACAACTTCACATTAAAGATAAGACAGATTTAATATGATCAATTTTATACCAGTTCAACACAGCTGTTTTAACACTGGCATGTTGCCAGTGCCACCTGCTGTCCTGTATTTGAGCTAATTTTGAGCACATGTATCTTAGCATATGTTTCAAATGCTTTTCTGTTATTTGAGAGAAAACATTTTTATTTAATATTTTCTGAAGTCTTTTTCAGATATTGAGGTGAAATAATAAATAATATTTACTTTCCCATATACTGCTACAGCCTGAACTAAACCTAGACTGTTGCAGTTGCTCTATGGTATTTTATTTGCACAAAGACTGGTCAGACTGAGACTTTCCATAGAGAAATATGCAACAAAACAGTGCATTTAGCAGAAGATCTAAAATTCTTGCAAAATCTTCTTAATCAAATTACCAGCTAAATATCTATCCTATATTGAGGATAACTTTCAGTACATTTGGATCACTGTAAGTACTAGTTCCCTAATTCTACATGTGTGACTGAGTAACAAAAATGTTAAATTACTTCCCTGTCATCAAACAACAGATCTTTGTCAGGCTGAATTCCATTATTTCCACAGAATTACTCTAAACAAAGGGCAGCAAATGCTCTCAAGCAATCAGTATAGCAGATAACTGGTAGTCATTTTCAGTACAGATTTTTCTTTTCTGACAGACAGTGTAGATGTTATGGGAGTATTTTTCAGTGTCTACACTTCATTCTTTCTAAATTTAAAACTCCTTAAATTCTGTGATAAGTTAATGCAGGTCCTTCTGTAGAGGTTTATTTTCATATTAAAACAAAAGGAATTAGAAAGAAGCTATGGAAATGTATGTTATCAGACATTTTATCCTTCTGAGTATTTTTACTAGTTATTAGGTAATTTATCTTGCTGTGCATAGCTTTACTATGGAAATAATAAAAATACGTAAACAGTGATGAAAATTCTGTAGTCTGCTATCAGCATGGGTCAGTGTTTCTGTCATCAAGAGTATTCAAGATATTCTTTTGAAGAGACGTAAATGTACAGCTTTGAAAAAATATTATAGTGGTATGCAAAATATGCTTTTGCCTAATAAGCATAGTTTTATTAGTTGAAAGTTGGAGTAAAATGGATGGGGTGGCTTTTAATGCTTTTTTAATATTTTACTTTACCGTGAATGAAGTCGATTACCTACAGAACTGTGCAAGCTGAATTGCTAATCGTTTGCTAATGATTTACTAGGAAATGATGCCATCCTCTAAAAGGGCTCCCATTTTTCATGTTAAACCATTCACATAATATGTAGAGAAAAGCCAGATTTTAAAATTTTCCATTAAACCAGCAAAAAAGTTACTACTACTGTTTGTACACAGTTCTAAATGATCAGATTTAAGTGTATTTTAGGAGTCTGAAAAGTTAGATCAAGAAAGTTAAAACTGTAGTGCCTGTCCATCATTATTTTGTGTAAACTGATAGCATGATTTTGATGGTTTTACAGCATCTAATGTATTACCCAAGCTCTTCATTCCAGTGCATCATTCCCGTTACTGGAATGCTGTTATTTCATTTTACATGCTCTTGTTACATTTTGCAAACCCAGCTTCCCAGGACTCTTCTTTTTTGGCTCTCTTTCTCTCTTGTTTTAGTTATGATAATGAAAAGTAAGATAAGAGTCTTTTGGACTCAGTAATCAAATAGTAAAGTTCTGACATATTAAAGTTTTCCACAGGCTGATTAGTATGTGAAAATAAAGGGCATAACCTACTGGCTTACGCTGCTTAGACAAGTCCAGGTAGTCTTCACATGTTGAAAATAAGCAAAAAAAAAACCCAAAAAAACCAAACAACCAAACAATTCTCTCACCTTCTTTTAACTTTAGCCAGCTATGCTTTGGTGTATGCTGAACTCAGGCAATGATGAAATTTTACATCAAAGAGATCAGTTTCAGAGCTTGTCCAGTATGATAGTGACAAAGAATTGTCACTGTAGTTTATTTAAAAAAAATTATGATACCAGTGAAGTCTTTGTTTTGGGTTGGGGTCCATTAACTTACTGTAATGTACTTAACTGTTGTATAGACCGTGTACAAACAATAAAAGATTCTCAGCTGGTGTAATTTGTTATGCTAATATCAGTGAAGCTAAGATAATTTATTTCAGCTGAAGATTTGTTGTAGTACCTTCAGAATTCAGCTACGTTGTTTGTATTTAATCTGTAGGTTCCTTTAAGAGCTATATGAAAAGGTAAGATATCATGTAAAAGTTTTATATTGCATTTAAAGCCTTTCAATCAGTTTTTATTACATACTTTATTCAATGCTTTAGTTACAATAATTGAAAAAAAATTGAAGAAGCATTTAAGTGAAATATGGAACTATATTATACAAAAATAAAAGAATAAACAAGTTAGTGTGTATAAACAATGGGGTTGAGATAGCCTAATCTTTCACAGGTTTGTGGTCTTTGCCCTCTGACTTCATCAGTAATCCCCTTCTGAAAGACATAGGAGTATTAGGTTGTTATTACAAATATTAGCCAGCCAGCTATTGCCAAGTTAAAAGAAGTAACAAGGAAATCTGCCTGACTTTGCTTCTGAGCTCTCTCTCTCTCTCTCTCTCTGCCCCGCCCCCCCCAGCCCTTTCTCTAGACTTTCATGAAACTTCTAGTGCCCTTTCAAATTTAACTGAGATTACTAAATTAATTTAAAAGTTTCTGGAGCAGTTTAGAGTCATGTAGATAAAGGGACAAAGAGCATAAATAAGTCTCATTTCTCTAGGAAATCAACCTAAATATCCAGTTTATTTTATCTTACTGGGTTTTATGCTTTCTATTTCCTCCTAGAACTTGAGTTTAGAGTTGCTGTGATCTCAGAAATACAGAGAGTTTTGTCTCTGGGGCTGTTCCAGGATAGAAACAATGTATTCTTATTTTGGTGCTTTTCAAGGCAATTGGTGTGCTAAACAAACAATTTCAGAACAACATGAGGAATTTAAATAAGAACTTAATTGGTTCTTATTCTATAGGGGTGCTGTGATATACATACTATTTGGACATTTGTTTTGCAAGAAAAGACCTTGGAATTGTATATGTGTATAATTCATTTGTACTTGGATGACTACTTTTTCCACTTAGCAGTGGTCGAATGTGTACTGCACCTACTGAAACTCTTATCTTTCAAGACCCATAATTCTTATTCTGAGGTTTAGTTGTGCCAGTTTCATGGAAGTTGTTCCAAGAAATTCTCTCATGAAAAGTGAGAATTTCATGAAGAAAAAAAAATTATGTAACTATAGAGGAAATTGTTATTTATGTGGTGCAATTTTTAATAATAAATGTATGAGGTAGAGTTTTTTGCTGAGTGTCACACTTCAGTCTGCAATTTTCACAGTCCTCATCAACTTTCCAAATTTATTTTTGCTCCTTAAGGCAATAGTTTGTTTGTCTCCCATCCAAACACAGATTGGATAGAGATGTCCCTGCATTACTCCTTCTGGTTGATAATTAACATGTTTGGGAAGTGGGCTATTGCATACTAGTGACCACTAGGCTATTTATTCTACTCCTCCACAGTAGAAACCTTCAAAGTTTCTGACCTTTTCATTTCATTCTGCATTAATTTAAGTAGATCAACATTGTCAGTGAAGTTTGAGATCCTAGCATTGCTTCCGATGTCCTTAATGACGGTTTGCTCCTGAGGGTTTTTGTCAGCCGTGAACATTGTACTCTGCTCTTCGCTAGGAGTTCCTGACTCACACAATATTATTCCACCCCGTTCTGATAAATGTGCTTGATTTCTCTTCTAAAATAATTCCATGCCAGATATTTTGTTCACACTTGTCATGGTTTAGCCCCAGCCGGCAACTAAGCACCACACAGCCGCTCACTCACTCCCCCCACCCCAGTGGGATGGGGGAGAGAACTGGAAGGGTGAAAGTCAGAAAACTCGTGGGTTGAGATAAGAACAGTTTAACAATTGAAGTAAAATGAAATAGAATGGTAGTAGTAGTAGTAGTAGTAGTAGTAGCAATAATAATAATACAATAATAATACACAAAGCAAGTGATACACAATACAATTGCTCACCACCCACCGACCGATGCCCAGCCTGTCCCTGAGCAGTGATCGCTGCCCCCTGGCCAACTCCCCCAGTGTATATACTGAGCATGACGTCATATGGTATGGAAGAGCCCTTTGGCCAGTCTGGGTCAGCTGTCCTGGCTCTGCTCCCTCCCAGCTTCTTGTGCACCTGGCAGAG